AGACTGGGAAGAAAACGTATGCAGACGTCATTACCAAGGTTTGAGTTGATAATTTTAAATAAACTAATCATTGATTAGATTGTTTCCAATCAAAATGATATATTTGTAATAAGAGACTAATATTTGAATGAAGAATATTCTTTTCGATAAATTCTTCCCAGGTTCTACAATTACATATCTAAATTAATAATTCGAGAAATGGCCAAGTTCAGTGGTAAATTGCATCGGTTAAAGCATGTGCACTATCCCAATGAGTAGAAAATTTAGTTTTTTTTAAAATTTTCTAACGTTTCATGACTCACTGTAAGCCACTTACAAATGTATTTTTTATTAATAGTAGGAAAACGTTTTTCTCAGTATCAGCCTTCCGATAGATTAAGAAAATAACGAAGTTAACGCATATATTCTTAACTGAGAAAATTCGAAAGTTAGACATTAACATCGTTAGATGCTGGCTCAATGGTCTAACAGTTAAGCGCTCGCGTGCAAGACTATTAGGTCCTGGGTTGGAATCTCGCGAGCGGGATCGTGGGTGCGTACTGCTGAGGTGCTCTGCATTAGGACGAAACGGTCATCCAATGCTTCCAGGTTTTCCATGTTGGTCTAGCCTCGATGGACTCATGATTTCAACTAATGAAATTAATAAAATCTCCACAAAACCCCTTCTGAGAAAATTTTCAACATGAATATTTATCGAAATCACTTCACACTTGAAAAATATATGGTCAGTATAATATGCTGATAGACAAAACTAAACATTAGGTTTCACGACTCTTACTTTTGATTTTACACAACCAAAATAAGAAAAGTAGTCTTTCTCAATAAATAAATATCTCATTTACTGTATCATTAAACTAATAAGTGCATTTATTTATTGGGACATTTTTTCCAAAAGTTTTGTTTGTCAGTGAATTCATTCTATCCTATAAAGGTGACGAAACAATAATTTGATGCTTCTTATCTCTCAAGGGCATTACAACTGAGGTGAATCTGCGACGAATACAACGTAGCTATAAACAATTTATTATCTTGACAATTTACCGAATAAAAATCTTAATAAACTATTTATAACGATAAATCACCTAAATAGAAATTATGGATACATCATATTATAGAAAAACCTTTCATCCCTGGTTAATTACATAATAAAGCTTATGTTTATGTTTATGTTTATATACTATACTTCTGAAGCTATATTTCTTATATAGCTTAAAACGCAAAATAAATATCCATTATTATTACTAGTAGTAGCAGTAGTTGTTGTTGTTGTAATAGTAGTAGTATTGGTATTAACAGATTATTTTATTGATTGTTTACATTAATTACATTAACTGTTGAATATTACAACAGATTCAGCATTCATTTTTATGACATTTAACCATTATGTAAAGTTGTCCACCTAATAAAAAACATTTTCAGTTATTCCATTTGTAATAATTGGAAACGTTAAAATTTCTAACATAATTGACCATATATAGTTCATAAAATTGCCTATCATTTATGAGAGATTGTCAGTATGATTGTTATAATCTTAAAAAATTATTAAACATTCCCAAATGATAATTTAAATCAGAAGGGGTTTTTGTGGAGATTGTAGTAATTTTAATAGTTTAGATCATGAGTCAATAGTAGCTAGAACACCATGGAAAACCTGGAAGCACTGGATGGCCGTTTCGTCCTAATATGGGACTATTAGCTGTACACATCCCGCTCGCGGGATTCGAATGCAGGACATATCAGTCTCGCGCGCGAGTGCTTTACCACTAGATCACTGAGCCGGCATCCAACGGTGGATTTGTCGCTCAATTTTTTGGGATAATTTAAATATAATTTTCATATTATAAAGTATTTCTATCATCATCACGGAGAAAAGCGACAATCATTTACTAATCAATGACTATATAATTGGCGGCCTGTTTGAATATCTGAGCAATATGTTGATGCCATCTGAATATTTCAATAAATTATCTGTTTTCTTATTTTTTTAACACATCATTATGCCTACTAGTCTCATAAACTATTCAGGTGAGTTTGTGAAGAGTTTACGACGTTTCCTTGTACAAGTTACAAAAGAGACCAATCGGAGACATAGTGGTTACTAACAATACGCATCGAAAAGAATATACATTATTCAGATGTTAATTCCTGAACTGCTAACATCCAACTGACGACCACTCAATATTTCTCGTCAGGATCGATCAAGAAATAAGAAAACTGGAAACTTGTTGAAATACTTTATACTGAAAATTCTATATTGTACCAAAAATATATTACTGAATAAAGGTAATAATAATAAATAAATAAATTTTATTGAAGGTGTCCATCAATGACTGAAAATAAAAGTCTTATTTATTTATGGAAAATGAATCAAAGGTTATACCGATACAAGATAAGTCATTTACAGAATATTTGTATTTAAGAGTTAGAATAAAACTGAATGTTAGTACACTGGTGATAGTATTTGATATGATTGACGTAATAGCATAGTATGTTTTAGGTTTATATGATGTTTTCTTCCAGTATTATTCATCATTATTGCAGTATTCATATGACCCCAAACAGATAATATAATAATATTTGAATTCTCGTTCACTTTGATAAGGTCAACTTTGCTTATGCTTTGTTAGGATGAATTTCAACGTTAGTAACTCATGTTTACAAAGGTATTTTATTTAATTTTGTAATTAATCAATATTTCTTCCTGATATTTGTAAAATTATCCATACATCCGTGACATTATATTACAGTATTGTATCATGTAGTTCAATGGATAATGACCAATGAACTAAATAAACGATGACTTTATTACAACTAAAGTAACTCATTTTCATCAACAAAAACATTGTTTCACTTGGTATTGTTTGGCTTGTATCTTCCCATTGAGGTTTGAGACTGCAATTGATCAGTCTGTTATTGGCATATGTGCATACTGTGCGTATGCCTCGATATTATCTTGATTCACAAGCTTTTTGTAAGCAATGATGGATAGTGGCTAGCAGTACTGGGTTCGAGTCCCAGAGCGAACATCAACTCTGAGATGCAGGTACATCCAGCTGAAGAGTCCCAAATAGGACGAAACGCGCGTCCTGGATTCCACTGCTGGCTACTACCCATCATTGCTTACAAAAACATTGTTTCCATATTTACTTTTCTTGAATAATATTGATTCTTTTTATTTTTTTTGGGGGGGGGTTATTATGTAAAATAGTTACACACTGATAAAAGTTTATCATCAACTACAATTCAAACGACAGTTGATTATGGTTTTATCTTTTGGTTAGCCAGAATTTAATTAGTTTTAATACATAAATTTATCTACATAGAAAAGTGTATTTAATTAATCATGACTCATTTCTAATTGTTTATTCATTTATTTACCCATTTACGATGAATCACATCATAAAATTTATCACTATACTGATAAATAATCTGCTTTTTTGACACAGAAAAGAAAATAGATATGTAAATGTAAGCTATAGCAAAATGAATACAGTATCATTAATAACTAGAAGTTGTATACATTAATAATCAATCTCTTATTACATTTTTAAGTATCAGTAACTCTTTAAAATACTAATAAGAGCTGTTTTGACGAAATATCAAGAACATTTTGTTTCATGATCTATTTGTCTAATATTCATTTGATAAAGAAGAATGCTGAAAAAATTGTGGAAACATTCGGTATTTAAACAATCCATATAGTTTGAAAAACATAATAGAGGTTAAGCGTTCGCGCGTGAAACCGATATGTCCTGGGTTCGAATCGTGCGAGGAGGGATCGTGGGTGAGCTCTGATGAGGAGTCTCACAATAGAACAAAACGGTCATCCAGTGCTCAACTATTGAAATTAATACATCGTCTACAAAGATCCCTTCTGATAATAAACATTACTGTTCTTATGATTACTGAATTATTCAGGATTTATTCTAATGCCCTTGAATTCCTCTGATGACCACATAATATAGACAATTCTAAGAATATATATATATATCCAACCTTTGCTGGTGTTTTAAAGAGTTTAGTGGATTACATCAAAAATATCAAATTTGTTTGCTGTTTAAAACACTATTGAAAGCCCCTACATAATGTCAATTAAATCACCCTATAAATCTATCGTACAGACGTGCGCGAATACACATCTTTTAAAATAACTTACAAAACGTTTATGATCTTAACTATCTCAAACTATAATAAACAATAAAAATTTCAAATGTCATTTAAAAAGTGTAATGAATACGTTTTGTAAAATGAATTTACTTAAAGAGTGCTTATGAATGTTTTATAGGAAGAATGTAAACATTGAATGACTACTTGTTTGAATCACATTATATGTAATGGCATTTAAATATTTAAACAGAAATACCCGGCCAAGAATCAAATCGATCAGCGTAACAAATAAATAAAATATTTGTCATATTTCGTTGAGTAGAAAAACTGGATTTTCTAACGTTTTGTGATTTAGTGTAAGCCACTTCTTCAGAGAATAAACTTAGATTACTTTTGATTTGGTTATTTATTTATTCTCCGAAGAACTGGCTCTCGCTAAGTCATGAAACGTCAGAAAATCTAATTTTTCTGCTCATTGGGATATTACAAATATACTATTTATTTATAACAATCTACCCAATGCTCAATTTATTCGAAATTATCAAGTCAAATCTTTGTCATTATACCTACGATTAGTGTAACGTTTACAACAATCATATTCAGGTGACTTGTTATTTATTCATTTCTTAAACAATAAATGTATGACATTTACATTTTTTAAATGATCACTATTATCTATCTACGAGCTTCAGAGGTAGATACATTTATGTAATCCAAAATAATAAAAAAAACGCCTATGGTTTAAATGAGAATATAAAATCACCGGCAATATTTTTATCAATTGAACATCAGTTCGAAATATGTAGAATTTTCAATAATTGTGCAGCATAAAATAACATTTTAAAATAATTCTAAGCACTCAGAATATAAAATCATTTAAATTATAAACCTACTTTAACACCCCAAGCATCTGTTGTCGCATCTAAACTAGACTGCATAGCTGTAGATATTTCTTCTCTGTCCATAAGAATTTGTGCCAAATCTTTAGTTCCTAAAACATTTCTTATAGTTGTCTGTGCTAATAGTCTGGTAGAGCGTGCAGCATCTTCAATATTTAACACAGATGCAACTGGATTTAATACACGATAATATACAACTGCATCCACTGAAACAGTTACTGAATCACGTGTTAATAATTCTTGTGGTGGGATCGCAAATGTCACTGTACGTAAATCCACTTTTCGTACACTATCAATACATGGTAAAATAAAAAATAATCCCGGCCCTTTTGTACCTTTACCTTTTGGTATTAAATTACCCATTCTTAAAACAACAGCTCGTTCGTATTCAGCGACAATACGTATACAATAGACAAGTGAAAATGGAAACGTGATCAAAATCAAAAATATACTTAACGCTGCTAAAAAAGTTGTTGTCCAACGCATACTTTTCCCTACAACTTCAGAATCATTTGGTGTATCATTAGTTTCTTGTGGAAGTTTAGTTTGTTTTACGTTTTTCATATCATCAGATGTCATCATTATATCGACTTCATTTTCATAAAGTGAATTTAAATGATTACCATTGTGAATACGATTAGATAAGGATTTAGATTGTTTCTTCATTACACCTTCTTGAGCTTTATGTGACTTGTTTAAACGTATTTTACGTGTTATAAATTCAAAACAGTGACATTTATTATATTTGAATAAACGATAGGATTGTTTTTTATGCCATAAATTTTCGTTTAATTGTGGGACATGTAAAGTTAAGACATCATCATAATTCAAATTGTGTTCATTTGATGTTTGAGATAATTCTTGATTATATGATTCAGATGTTACGGTTTTGTCAGACGTTTTACAAGTATATGGACTTAAATTTGATTCAATATCTTGCTGTTGTGATCGTGGTTCAACACCTTGATTGAAATCAAGATTTGATGTCTCTTTATACAATGATGTAGAATAAGAGGTATTCCCTGTTGAAGACATAAATCACATAAAGATCAGTACTCTGTCTACTATATCCATACTGTATTAAAATATGTGAAGAATTTTATTGATATAAAACAATATCTAGTGTTTTGGTGAATTCGTTGTTAAGCTATACATCATCAACCAATCTATTCAGTGTAATTCATCAAAGTTAGTTTCGAATATATGACAATAGCATTTTTGCATCTTTTTAAAATTATCATCATGAATCAAACACTGAAAAGCCAATAAATTGTATCAAAAAGTATATTTATTCGGAGTTATACAACTACATACAATCATTAAATTTAAACACAAACACATACATAAGTTATAGAAGGAAAAACCACTTTTTTCCCTACGATTAATTTCCTCATTATAGACATATTTCTGTCAGTCTCTCTTTCTTAATTCTAATTGGTTAGTTTCATCATGATCAACCAAGTAATCATTGATGTTATGATAATCTGCATTAAAATAAAAATGTCTATGCTGATGAGGGTACCGGAAGACTTACAATCTAGGAACTGATAACGATACAAAATCGATATGTTAATTTTTCGAAATTTATTTTTCAATGTTCAAATAGTGTGGAAAAGGAGAATTATCCAAGAAATGTGAGAAGTACAAAAATGAACAGGTTCATCTATAATCAGAATAAATGAGTTGCAAGAATATAATTAATGATCGGATTAGAAAACATTTTTTATCAAAGCATTATTTGTTTGTGTGTACATTAGGTATGATGAAAATATTTACATAAAGTTATGTTAGTGTTCTAGCGTTTTTTTAACGAGTTAGTTTTCTACGGGATGGGGTCGCTAACCCCATGTCCAACCCTTCTCCTTTGTCCGGGCTTGGAACCGGCAGTAGCCCCCGGAGGGACTCCAGGCGGAGTTAATTTTAATACTTTATAAGAAAATGGTTGAATTTATCATGAGTTTTTCAGGTGTCATTTTGCATGTTCCTGTTAAAAATGTTGTGCAATTATTATTAATATTATTGAATTCCTAGATAAACAAAAAGTAAAAATGGTTTGGGAGTTAAAAAAGATTTACAAAGAATGAAATGATGAGTGAAGCAATCATAATAACAATACTAGAATTAGTGTTGTTTTGCTAATAATCACACTGAAATTGAATTACTGTTAAATAGTATTTACAAGAACTCAAACTGTAATTATAAAACTTTATTCAATATACTGTTAATTAGATTTACAAAAGCTATATAGCTAGTCATTCAACAAATAGTTAGGAAATATATTGGAAGTGATTTAATTTCAACTATTGTAAGATCATCAACTAGCTCTATTATTCCATTCCATTACTGCGGTGATAGGACAATACACATAGTGTAGTGAACAGAACACGGCTGGGGACAATCGAATTATATTTAGCACGAAATTACAGAGTTACTTGGTAAAAACCATACTACAATACTTAATTTGCAAAATTTTCAATAATTGTCTCGAACTTCGTTGTTCTAGCATTTTCATACTAATTGCTTTCTATTCCCACTCTTCCTTTCTTGATCTTCTCCATCTTCTGCTGCCAGACATTACATTCCTGACTCGCGTCATACACTACATATATCAATATAAGTAGCACGCACCACACTCGTCTCCCCTTTTATGGCAGTCGTTCTTGCGGTGGTTCATTCTCACACCACAATAGGATTACATACGATCTCAGAAAGATTTAATGTGGAACACCATGTACATATTCCATGTTAAAGGAGATAATGATGTTATGTAAAAAGGGTTTATTTTCAAGAATTCATTACGTTATGATTTATCAGGACATTACTATCAACAATTACAATAGTGTATTCAGAGTTTTTAAATATCTTAAATTTAATGAAAAGAGAATTAATGTACAAGTGAGGGTAAATTATCATTTTGTGACCTGTTTATTTGACACTAGAATCCATAATCAATTATACTAAATATCCACTACCTGGTTCAAATTTATGTCGCCATAAACTTATTGATAGAATAATAGGTTACTATAAGCACGAACAGGAGATCAAATCGTTTTAGCTATTGAAATATTGTTTTTATTTTTCAAATATCTCTTATTTATTATAACTTAATTGAAAGAGAAATGCGCAATGTTAAATTTTTCACTATCAATAAAAGTAGTTTGTTCCATCGTTTTTCTTTTCAATAACATAAAATGAAATTCAAAAGTTTATAAAATGCATTTCATCGTTTAGGTAAACGTTTCAACTATGATTAAATAACTGTCTTTTGCTTCACAATCCAAGTAGTTCAATCAAAGAAAGATTTAAAATGTAATGTTCCTAACAATGTTATATATATATATATATATGACACTGTTTTCTTATAAATAGAGCCACCATTTTTGTTTCTTAATTTATTCCGTTTTAACCGATTTTCTGTCATATGTATCGTACTACTTCCTCTTATATTCATTCTTAAATTTTCAGCGTATGGTTTTATGTTGTTTTATAAACGTTTGATAGGGTCTTACATAGTAACACTTCTAAAAAAACAAACTTATCAACAGTTATCTACTTGATTATTCATTATATTGAAATTAACCAAACATTTGCATTTGTTCATCTCTAGAATGTAATTATTATTATATATAGAGATTATTAAATAGCTAATGCTTGTCAGAATATATATATAGAAGTATTCAAGTAACATTATAAACATTTTGGTGACCTATCGGTTAAGTCCATTGAATGTAAAATTATTTTTTTCTTTAATTTACTTAATGTTAGGTTAGTACTCTAAACAGTTAAGTGTGAATTCAGACTTGAAAACATTCAATAGATGAAGTTAAAATCAATTACTTTCATAATGAAACATTAAGCAATTAAAACTTAGGCATTTATTACTGTATATCTTTATAAAATTACCGATATTATTGCTCTTTAAGTATATCTGTGATAATAATGAACTTCTAGATCAACTGAACAGTCATATATTCTTTCACAGATTATAACTACAAATGTCTTATTTTAAAATTATTATTTTCATACTGTATTCACACCAGTTTTAGTAAGAAATTCATTATTAAAAAATAACAATTCGTTACTTCTTCAAATTCTATAAATAATTCCATTGAGAATATAATATTGAACAAATGACTTTATATTAGTTGCGTGATTGTATAAATAAATAAATAAATAAATAAATAAATGTAAACATGATAAACAATTTCACATGTATGATTCAATAAACATAAATATTACAGAAAGATACAAAATAAAACAGTTTATAAGAAAAAGATGGATAGTGACTAGCAGTGGAGTCCAGGACGCACATTTCGTCAGTAGCTAAGTGGATACCGCGATAGAGTTTGAAACAAACGGTATTAGGTCCGAGTCCCAGTGTGAACATCAAAACTGAGATGCAGGTACATTCATCTGACGATTGTCAAATAGGATGGAACGTGCGTTCTTGATTGCACTGCTAGCCACTATCCATCTTTGCCTATAAAGCTAACGACTTCAGGCAATATCGAGGCAGTCGGCACAGGATGCATATATCGCAACAAATGACTGATCAGTTGCAGTCCTAAATAACAATGGGAAGATACATGTAGGCAAAAGTAAGTCAATAAAACGGTTTACGTTTATTTGTTATTTATTTATTTGAACACATAGATATCAGTACAAGGCGGCACCAGATACATATGCGCCAAACATGTCATTAAATTTGTGTAAGGGCTGTGATACTGCTCGGGTGCTCAAACCGAAGTAGATGGTTTTCTTAGGGAACCACACCCGGAGCTTTTGATCTAAAGGTCTGATCCATAAGGCACTGGAGCATCGTACGGAGATGCAGTCTCATGGTAGCCGGTGACCAACGAATGTTTCATACGCCATTTGTTCCTTCAAGATGCTGGAGCCTATGTACACCATTGGTTTAAAAATCAGGGTTTTCCAACTGCCAGAGGTGGACTCTCCATGTCCACCAATCCGGTTAAAGCGCCGGACACTTGTTTTTCGTCCTCTCAATTTCATAAACAACACCCCCACCACGAGAAGGCAGTGAGTAGGACTTCCCTGGCAGAGGCTACATACGCGTGGCCATGTGAGAACATTTCGAGAGGGAGAGCGGACTCTCCTCAATCTCGGCCGTACCAGGGCATTTGGGGGCTTCTAAATATAAGTTTACTTGTTATTAATATAGTTATTGATTTACAAAATAAAATAATAATAATAAAAGAAGTCATCAAAAGTTATCAACTATTTCAACTACAAAGTTTAAATTAGTTTTCTATATAAAAATTCAGTTACTTTATTCCTTTTTCAACTTTATACATTTTTTATTTTCATGACAACAAAAAGAAAAACAACCCTAATATATTTTGATTAGATTTTTCACAATAACTCAAATAAAAAGAAAAAAATTTTGGTTGGTGACAAAAAGAAAATTTATTTTCATAAGAAATGAGAGTATGTAATAAAATAACGTGAATTCTAATTGAAATAAATTACTTATTTGATTTTAATTTATCAAAGTGCATCACTACACTTTTGAATGAATTTGATTTATCAGTATGGGGTTGTGAAAATTATTAAGTTTTGTGATTGACACTGTGGACTGATTGATGTTGGACATCCATTGAAACAGATAATCCGTGTCGGGTAGTGACAAGTATCTACTTCAGTACAATGAAAGATGGTCGCTCAATCTCGTGGTTGAGGTTAGACATTATTACCGTTGGATGCCGGCTCAGTGGTATGCCATAGGTTCGAACCCTGTGAGCGGGGTCGTGGATGCGCACTACTGAAGAGTTCCACAATAGGACGAAACGGCCGTTCAGTGCTTCTAAGTTTTCACTGGTGATCTTAGATCAATCGATTCATGATCTCAAACAATAATTTGATTTATTTATAAGTGTGAGTTATAAAACAAATACAAGTATATTTCTAACTTATAACGAGACGACATTATTTCAGCAACAAATATCGAGTACGTTCAAAATCATCGAAAAATTAGTTATGATTAGTTAAATCTTTTTTTCTCCACTAAACTAAAT